TTCACATGCAATAAGCTGCATATTTTAAAGTATACAATTTTTTAACATATGCAAACACACATGAAATCATGAAAGTATATATATTCATCACCCCCAAATTTCCTTATACCTTTTGCAACCCATCCCCCTTGCTTCTCCTCACCCCCAAATCCAATCTGCTTCAGTTTGTATTTCCTTGGGTTTTATATAAATGAAATCATACAGAATGTACTCCCCCCATTTCTTTCACACAGCAGCATTATCTGGAGATTTACTCCTGCTATTACATGTATCAATACCTTACTCTAGCAGTGGCTGGCTGGCTCAATAGAGCATAAGACCCTTGATGTTGGGGTCATGAGTTCAAGTCCCACATTAGACAGAGAGCTTTCTTAAAGGAAATATAGCTGATTCTACATGTCTGAATAGTATTTCATTGTATACAAAGGAATATAATGCCAAAATTGCAATCTATCTTATTCATCTGTTGATGGACATGTGGATTGTTTGTGGCTTTGCTTATTACAAACAAGCTACTATGAACATTCAACTGAGTTTAGTTTTTTTTAATGAACAAATGCCTTCATTTTTCATGCATAAATGCCTAAGAGACAAATAGCTGCATCATTACCAAATGCATCATTACCAAAAACATTTGGTAATGTTTCACTTTTTAAGAATCTGCCAGATTATTTGCCCAAGTAGTTCTTCCAGTTTACATTCCCACCAACAGTACATGAGACTTACAGTTCATCCACATCCTTTCCAACACTTAGTATGGTCAATCTCTTAAATTTTAGCCATTATAAGAGGTACATAATATTATCTCACTTTAATTTGCATTTCTCTAATGACTACCATGTGCTTATTTGCCACTGAACTATCAAGTATTTTTATCAACTTATTACACTGGGTTGTTGCCTTATTGTTAAGTTTTAGCATTTATACAGTCTGAATTTATATATATTCTGGATCAAAGTTCAGTATGCTCTGTAAAGATGTTCTAGTGCCCTACGGTTTGTATTTTCCTTCTACTATCAGTGTCTTCAAAAGAATGGAAGTCTAAAAGCTGATGAAATCCCATTTGTTCTTTTATAGTACTTTTGGGGTCCTATCAAAGAAACTTCTGACTTCTGGGATGTAGCAAAGGCGGTCATAAGAGGAAAGCATTTAGCAACTGAGGCCTTCCTAAAAAAGGAAGAAAGGTCTCAGATATTTAACCTAACCTTATATCTTAAAGAGCTGGAAGAAGAACAGTAAATAAAACCCAAAACCAGCAAAAGACAGGAAATAATAAAGATCAGAGCAAAAATCAATGCTATCAAAACCAAAACAAAGCAAAACAAAAAACAAAACACAGTAGAACAGATCAATGAAACCAGGAGGTGGTTCTTTTAAAGAATTAACAAAATTGATAAACCACTAGGCAGTCTGATCAAAAAGGATCAAATAAATAAAATCAAGAATGAAAGAGGAGAGATAACAACCAACAAAACAAATACAAACAATAGTAAGAGAATATTATGAGCAATTATACGCCAATAACATAGGCAATCTGGAAGAAATGGACAAAGAAACTCCTGCCTAATCCAAGGTCACAAAGATTTTTCTACTGTTTCTTCTAGGTCCACTCAGAGCTAATTCTTCAAAATGGTATGGGATACAGATCTGAGTGGTTTTTTTGTGTTTTTTGCACACAGATTCCTTAGTAAAAAACCAGTTGTCCATAATTATGTAGGTTTATTTCTGGATTCTATTCTGTTCTATTCAGCTTTCTTTATTGCCAGTATGACATTGTTTTGATTACTCAGCTTTACAGTAACTTCTGAAAACAGGCAATCAGTCCTCCTGACCTTTTACTTTTAAATATACTTCTTTGTATCTTTTTTACTAATTATTTCATTATGCATCCATAATAGAATCTACTCTAAGTCAGAGTTAATATTCTATCACTTCATGTAAATAATAAGCCCTTACAACTATAAGATTCTGTTTTTATCTTCACTTAGTGCTAACGGTTGTTATGTAAACATCAACATACATAAATAAATCACATAATACAGAGCCATTGTTTTTAATGTACATAAACAGTCTTTCAAAGAAATTTAAAGGGTTTAAAGAGAGGCTTTTTAATTTACACACATATTTACCATTCCTACTACTCCTGGTTACATCCTGCAAATCCAAGTTTTTACACAGTGTCATTCTATTCAATCTAAAGAAGTTAGCTTTTTTTCTTTTATGTTTTACTGCAGGTGTTGGTCTCCTGTGATATGGCTTTTTCCTGGCTCTAAGATTTGCTCTTTATCATTAATTTTCAATATTTTGACCATTTTGTGCCTAAGTGTGATTCATTTTATTTATCCAACTTGATATTTTTCTTAAAATTTTAGAAGTTTTCAGCCATTACTGCTTCAATTACATGAATATTTGGTCCCATTCTCCTTATTTCCTCTCTGGAACTGATTACATTAGACAGCTTAACTGTCCCCATAATATATTTTGTTCAATCTGCTAAACTTAATAATTTCTATCCATCAGTATTCAAGTTCACTAACCTTTCTTCAGTTATCTCCAATCTGCTATTAGCCACAAATGGCTAATTTTTCATACTAAATATGTTTTTTAGTTAGAAATTTCTATATGCTTTCTTTATACCTGTCTCTTAACACATGCCTCTGTGTGTTCACTCACTATTTAATACTTTCCTTTAGAGCTTTAAAAATATTTATAGTCCCTATCTGTCAATTACACTATCTAGGTCATTTTGGTATCTGCTTCTGTTGAATGCTTCTCTATTTGATGGAATGTTTTCATGCTTTCCATAATTTGTCATTTTTGATGGTATGGGGGATATTGTGAATGACAGTTCACAAAATAAAGACTGAGTCATGTCTTCCTTACGGGGTGTGGTTTTGTTGAGGCAAGCAATTAAATTACTGGTGATCCTTTTACTGTCTTGTCAAGCCAAACTATCTCAACTTCTTCACCCTTTGTCTTAAGGTTGGCACTTTAGTGTAAAGAGTGATCCATTCTCTTAAGGACTGGGCTTTCTGTAGTCTAAATCGAATGCCTGAGGTTCTCTCCAAGATGTCTGCATTCTGACTTCCCAGAACGTCCAAGATCTCGGAGCACTACAGAACCTTTGGAATCACCATTTTAACCTCAGCCCCAGAGCACAGGTCCTTCTGACAGAGCATGCTGAGTTCTCAACCTGTATACAGGCAGCCCAGCTATTATTCAAAATTCTGAATCAAGTGAATCCCCACACTGAATTCTGACCCCTGTAAAATGCCCAACCCTCCTGGAGAGCTTCCTTTTTCAGGACACTTCACAAATCCCAGATGTCCTTGAATTCCAATCTGTCTTTTCAGCTTGGTGAGACCTCCATGCTCTGCTTAGATTCTCCTTTCCTGTGCTGTAACAATAGGGTTAGGCAGAAAGCCAAAGTGATCATGGGACTCCCTGCATATATTTCCCTTCTTTCAGGGATCTTTATCTAGTACTGTCTGCTCATCAATTCAAGACAACAGTTGTCCAATATATTTTACACAGTTTTATAGTTTTGGTTTTTTGGTTTTTTTGGAGGGCACATGGAGGAAGAAGGAAAGGCTGCTATCAGATACTCTGCCATAGCCCCACATATTAATTTTAAAACATTTCGACTATTCATCACTGTATGTATTGTTTAAAAAAATCAAAGTGGCAAAGCAATGTTAGGCATGTAAACCTATTTGTTCAATTATTTGTACACAGTATTTTGACTATCAACATCATGGCCTAGTGACTTTGTTCCCAATACAATTAATTCCTCAAGCAAATAATTCAACAAAGGGTTCAGAAAAAAGGAACTTTGGTTTTAGGTAAACAGTGTAAAATGCAGGGTTATAAAGCAGAATAATTAATTCGTCGTCATCATCGTCATCAAATTCAAATTTGGGTTCATAAAACAAAGGACTAAAAATCATTTCATATTTGTTTGGACAGACATTACAAACAACCAACGTTATTTCAGACATATATACAATTTAAGAAAAAAACCCTATGAAGAAAATATGGAGATAACATTAAAAAACCCAATTCAAAGAATTAAAATACAGTTACAGCAAAGAAAAAAGGTAGAAAGCACACAGAAAACTATGTAGCTCAATCTTTTGACTTTTATTTGGTTGGGCTAAGATAGAGAATACTTCAAATACCCTTTATCTGCAGTTTCATTTTCCATGGTTTCAGTTACCAGTAGTCAACCATGATCTAGAAGCAGATGATCTTCCTTCTAAAATACTGTCAAAAGGCCAAGAGTAGCCTAACACTGTATCACAATGCCTATAGTCATTCACCTCACTTCATCTCCTCACACAGCCATTTTATCATCTCACACCCATTACAGGAAGACAAAGGGGGAGTACCATACAATATTGTGAAAGAGAGAGGGAGAGAGTATGCAAATTCACATAGCTTTTATTACAGTATGTTGTTATCACTGTCTATTTTTAGATTTTGTTAATCTCTTAATTTGCCTAATTTGTAAATGAAGCTTTATCATAGATATGTATGCACAGAAAAAAGTACTGTATATATAGGGTTTTGTACCATCTGCAGTTTCAGGTAACCACTGCAAGGCCTGGAACACCTGCCTTAGGGAGGCGGGGGGAACTACTGTAAAAAATATTTATCTAAGACACTCAACAGAAAAACTAAAAACAAAAGGACCAAAGGGGCAAGAATGAGGGGACTTTGAACATGAAAGGAAAGGTTCTATTTTTGTGATTAAAAAAAGGGCAAGAAGACTTATAACTTGCCCACAAAGTCACCAATTTCAGGTTTTTACTTCATAATATATATACTCTAGTAAAATTTCCTCTGTAATGTTTCAACAGAAACTTTTTTGCAAAAGAAATATTTAAAACATTTAACATAAATTATAAAAGGCTATTCTCATAAAGCAGACAAAATTTTAGTTTTAACATTCTGACCCATAAAATAGCAAATAATTAAACACTATTAAGAGTAACACTTACCTGTAACCACCATGCTGCTCATATTAGAGTTCGGACTACTGAGAACACTGCCTGAGAGTAGTTCGTCAGATCCTCTCTATAAAAAACAAAAACACATTAACATAAGTTATCTTTAAATTTAAAAATACGAATGCATTACTTATCTGTATTTTTCAAATATTCACTGAAAAATAAGTGTCAGGTGATACATACACTATTGGAAATGTTTTAAAATTTTAACCCCTAAAATAGAAAATTAACTCACTTTGTCAATCTCTTTCTTTTCCATAAAGCCAACAGGGTTTCTTTCCTTCCTTTCACCTAAGTTTGGTTCACTATCCAAGCTTTCTTTTTTTCTTTTAATTTTTAAGAGCAGCTTTACGTTTGCAAGAAAATTGAGAAGGCAGCCAACAGATTTCTATATACTCCCTGCCCCCACACATACATAGCCTCCCTCATGATCAGCAACTCCCACCACAGTGGTACATTTATTACCAAGGATCAACCTGCAGGGACTCATCATCATCACTGAAAGTCCGCAATTTACCTGAGGGTTCTCTACTGATGTTGTACATTCAGCGGGTTTAAACAAATATGTTAGGACATATTTCTATCATTATAATATATAGAGGATTTTCACTGCCCTAAACAATTCTCTGTGCTCTGCTTCATTCATCCTTGTCCCAACTTCATCCCTGGTGACCACTTATCTTCTTACTGTCTCTATACTTCTGCCTTTTCCAGGATGTCATATAGTTGGAATCATACAGTATGTAACCTTCTCAGAAAGGCTTCTTTCATTCGGTAATGCAATTACCTGTAATTCAGCTATTTTTACCAAAATTACTGAAAAAAAATGTTTGTAAAGATTATTTTAAAATACGTTATGTTGGCCTTTCCACTTCATATAAAAGTTACCACTACTATGCCCAAAAAAGGTGATTCTACAGTACTGATAATGTTTCCACATTAACTCATAGAACACTTTCATAGAACACTTTTATTTGATATAATCTTGTCACAGATGCCTAACTTGGAAGAGATATAAAATCAAATGACTCAACAGAATCGTGATTGATGGCTGTTCCACAGTACTGGCTATGGAAACAAACTGAATTAGAACTTAAATTCGGAATAACAATCTCTACTAAAAATGTACATTTTAGAAATTAATTCATCTAAGATGGAGATCAACTGATTTTAAGCGTTAAGATGGGCATTGGTGCACTTTTTAAAAATCTGACTGCACTTTTTCCTGTGTAATAATGACCATTTCATGAGAAATTAGCATCCCACAAAAACAATCAGGAAAATGGTAAAATGAAAAAGAAAACCTATATGTCAAAGAAAAAATAAGCATAAAAATATAGGGTAAGTATAAAAGCACATTCAAATTACATTTTATAATCATTGCAGTGTTTGAAAAAAAATTTTCCTTATTTGAGTATTGGATATTCTCTTCATAATAGTCCAATCCAAATATCATCTATCATTCCCAAGTGGAAGAGTTGCTGAAACTACCAAGAAGGCAAGCAAGAACTGAAGACTGACGCTAACAAGAGTCCGAGCTCTTTCAGGACTAAGAGTTGCCCAAAGATTTTCTTTTCTGGAGAAGAAGGAACCATGACAGAAAGTCACGGGGCAAGGATGCTAACATCAAGTTCCTGAGAAAAACTAGATATTCAGAAACGAAGTAACTCACTCATGTGAGTATTCCTGGTGTCCTTGACAAACCTCAGGTTGAGAACAGTCAAAGGAAAAAAACGAAACAAACAAGACAGCACAATTACACATCACCAGACCACGCAGACAAGAACAAAAGCTTAGGAAATAATGAAGCCACAAGATGAAGCTGGCCTAATGAATAATCTCATGGAACAAACTGATACCATTTTCTTAAGCCAGCAGGACTTTGGCTTTTGAGAAACAAATGTGCCTATTTCTGCCACTATGTTCTGCATTTTATTACAGTAACTTAGCGTTCAACCTAACACATATTTACCTGTAACGTGAAGAAATGGCACTGCAATTTTTATTTAACTGGTTATCTCTGGTAAGGTGTAAAAAAAAAAAAGAAAAAGAAAAAGAAAAAGAAACTAGATCCCTATCTAATACAATACACAAAAAAATAGTAATTTTCTGATGGATTAGAGATAAATGTGAAAGTCATAATTTTAAATTTTTTTGTAATGTATGAAAATATCTTTATGACCCTCAGGTCACGTAAGGACTTTTAAAGTTAAAACACAAGAAAATGAACCATGTAAGAAAATACTCCTACAGAGTGGCCACAAAATCTCTGTAAAAGAAACTGTATCCCAACAACAAAGACATAACTATTATTAGAGACTGCTTTAGAGATTTCCAACAATCAACAGCAAACATATCAATAAGAACAAGGCAAAGATTCAAATGAGTGGAAAAAGAACACATAAATTTAATTATGATGGCAATGGGAACTTGTGGCCATATTAAAACTCTATACATTAACATTAGCAGCTTTTATTCATCAAAACACAGTGACAAGATCTACAAACTAAGAGAGGATATTAGAAACACAACCAACAGAGAACCAGTAACAATAATGCACTAAGAAGACTATAAACTCCGTTAAATTCAAATTTTTATTAGGCAAAGACATAAATAGGTTAGTTCACAAAATTTCGGAAAAGAAACACTAATGGCCATAAACATGTTGGGGGAAAATAAAGATGCAACACCTCATTAATAATTAGGGAAATATAAAGAAAAACCAAAGAAAATATCACATACCGAAATGGCAAGAATCAAAGAATTTAATACTTGACCAAGTGCTGATGAGAATCTGAAACAGTAAGAACTCTCGTGTACATTAACTGGCGCAATACACTGACAAATAATCTAGTACTACCTTATAAAGTTTAACATACTGTACATTCTAGCAATACTTATCCTTAGATGTACTCTCAAAAAATTTTGTACAAATGCACCAAGCAGTACAAACATGTTCAGAGCAGCATCATTCTTAAAGTCAAAAATGGTAAATGACCCAGATAAATTCCAACAAGAAAAGAGATATTATCAGGGATGCCTGGGTGGGTCAGTCGGTTAAGTGTCCGACTTCGGCTCAGGTCATTATCTCACGGTTCTTGGGTTCAAGCCCCGCATCAGGCTCTGTGCTAACAGCTAGCTCAGAGCCTGAAGCCTGCTTCATATTCTGTCTCCCTCTCTCTCTGACCCTCCCCTGCTCACACACGCGCGCGCTCTCTCTCAGAAATAAAAAAATTAAAAAAAAAAAAAGAGATAAACCAGGGTATTTTAACATATAATACTACACTATAAAGAGTATTACATAACTATATATAAAAGTATGGCTATTAAAAACACTGTTAAAGTAAAACACAAGTCAGAGAAACAGAAAATAAGCCTACCATTTTCAGAAAACTCAAAATATAAAACAATACATTTTTGTTATATACATGACAAAATTATATATGAAAAAGATAAAATAATTCTGGGCAATCACTAACTAAAGCAGAGTATTAGTGATATTAAAAGGAACACATAAGCATATGCAACAGCATTGATAACATTCAATATTAATTCCAAATATTAACTTAAAAATTCAAGTCCAAAACGATTAAAAAAATGTAAAGTTCTCCACAGTCCAAAGTTTGTCCCTTAAATTTAATACAATTCCTTTCCAAATATTTATCTATGTCTACGTTTTTAATATTCATATAAAACAGAATCATACCATATCTGCTGTGTAACACCATTCTCCTTTCATTTAACATAACAGCCTAGAGATTTTTTTTTTTTTAAACATCAACACTGCTAATCTAGTTCATTTTATAAACAGCTTCATAGCATTCTAGTATATTGGTATACCACAGTTTTTTAAATTCTCCAACTGATATGTTTCAGTTATGTGCAGTTCATCCTTGTATTTAAATATCCATTAAAGTCTCAAAAGCAGATCGTAAGCTATGTAATGAGTAACTCAATAAATTCCATAAAGAAGAAATGGTACAGACTGTATTTAATGCTCAAACAGAGTAAGATATTTTGATGGGAAAAAACAGAACGGAATTCAATTGTTTTATTTTCATTTTACACCCCTCCCCTTTTTAAAAATAGAGATAGATAGAATGGGTGAGGGGTAGAGAAAGAGGTTCAACCCCTGCAAAGGGCTCCATCTCCTGACCCTGAGATCATGACCTGAGCAGAAATCAAGGGTCAGACACTTAACCAAATGAGCCACTCAGGCACCCTGAAAATTCAATGTTTTAATCAGATGAAATTTTAAAATAATTCCTAAATAACTTGGATCAAAATGAAAATATAAGCTTCAAATACAGACTATATTATAAAATTTTAGAAAGACTAGTTACTCCATTAAAAATTAGGCAAAATATTAATATGAAAAGCTGTTAAGACTTGCTCATAAAAAAAAAACATCAAACTAATACTACATTTAGGTGCCATCTCATCTATCAGACGGGCAAAACCCCAATCACCGAATATACTCTATTCGGCAAGCTATTGGGAACAGAGGCACTCATATACTTTCTATACAGCACTATAAAACAAACAAACAAAAATCTCCATGTATAGCCATGGAGTGATCGCCAAGATATACTTATCATTAAAAAGGAAGATGTATCTGTTATAACCTGTATACACTGTCACTATCTCTAGGATGATGGGAATGCAAATGGAGGAAGCAACTCACATTTGTTTATACAAGACAGAAGGATAAGTCAAAAATTAATGGAAATGATACCTATAACGGGATAGACAAAGCAAAGTAGAGTGGACAGTAAGTATTAACCAGACTTCTATAAATGTAGTTTATTTTACTTCTGACTCGGGAAAATTTAGCCAAAAATGATGGGGGGTAAAAATCTCTAAAAAACAAAACTAAATGAAAACATTAAACTTATCTACTTGGTAGTAGAACCACACACAGAATTCTCTCCATAAACCTTGAAATTCTGTTTTTATTCTATAAGAACAAAAGTAACTACAAAGAAACTTTAAACTGTACTCAGTAATTACAAGGTCAGTGTAATATTAATGTTCCTTTTTAAGTAACCTGTGTGTGTTTGTGTGTGT